TGTGGCTGTGGCTGGACTGTGGGCCATGCTATCTAACTAATATAATTTATTATATTTTAAATCTCCCCTTTCCAGGACAGAATCTTATAAATGCTTTAAGTATGAAAGCAATGAGATTCGTCAGTGATGTTGTCACCTCATCTGCATGTTTTACATTATTATGGAGGCTTATATCATTATTAACTTTATATTCTATATATGGACATTAATGCTGTTTGATTTTTTAAAGAGGGCTCTTGTTCAAAGTTTGACAGAAAGGGCTTAAATAAACCATTGCTGTGTTGAGTGGAACAGAAAAACCCATATTTGAATTTTTCCTGCATGAATCTTAAAGAGAATTTGCACTTTTCTGCGGATGATGTTCACTACCTGTGCAGACTGCTGGGTCCCAACTTTCAGCCCCATGAAGAACAGAGCGAGGCGTTTACCCTTTCACAGATGATCTGTTATCAGATAGGATTTCCTTCTAGTGGAACGTTCCTGTATGCGTTATGAGATACTAAATATATTAGCTAAGCCCCTATTTGATGCTTTATCAGAACTTTGTTTGGCATTAAAATGCTAATAAGCACATAACCTTCCCCGGCCAAATAACAGCGAACTTCATCAAGGGTGGGTTCAAATATATTCATATAACATGAATAAAGCAACAAATCACAAAAGAAACTTTGGAGCAGGTGGACTGCTTTTCTTCATTTTGTGAATAACGGAATATTTTAATAAAAAAAGGAAAACCAAATCTACTTTACTTTCTTTCAAGACATGGATGCAATTTAAACCCCAACATCCCACAACGAATGGAAACAAATCACTGTACCACAGGGAGGCTGAAGGATAAAACAGAATTGGGTTAGAGACAGCAGTCTAGTTGTACAAAAGCTTAGAAGCATACATAGCCTAATTAATATAGTCTATTAACCTAAAGCAATATGCATGGTAAGGTTGGTCCATGTCAGGTACACCGGTCATTGACCTTGACCAAGGCAGCTTACAGTAGAGCTGCAGTCAGTCCCTGGATTGGTGTGGCTATCACTGCACCTACATAGTTAGGGACACATTTCCCACTGGGATCAGTTCTTTTGAGAAAAATGACACATAGCTCTTTAAATTATGTTTTCAGTTAAGTACAAAGCTGCTGCTGATCCGGGCTCAAACTGGTATAAAGTGTTTACCTTCTTCTATAAAAGCTATTAGTCTTAAAATCCCCACATTTTTCTCTTCCACCTAATATCTCCCTGCACTGGTGTGACAGACTGCCAAAGAAAAAAAAAATAAATAAAGCAATCGGAGGGATTCAGAATCTCCTGCAGCTGGATGACATCAGATATGCAAAATATAAACTTCCTTGCTGAGGAGTTGGCAAATTTGGCCATATCTTGGTAGCTTCATGACGGAGCTAGGAAATGGGATCTTCTTGGCATTGCTTTTCTCAGATCTAAGCCAAGAAACAAAATAAAAAAGAAGCGAAAATGAGGGTGAACATCAGTCAGGCTTCTGAATGTTGGTGCTGGTTTAATGAATTAAAGAAGCTCAGAAGGTTGTTGTTTTTCTTCTGAACACATAAGGTAAAGGTTTGCTAATATGAAGTGCAAACCAAAGGTAAGCATAGGCGGGCCAGACGACTGGCTGCTTAACAGTATAAAACAAGAGCAGATGGTATTTACTGGTCGGGAGGGATTAAACTAGCAGCTACAACCGTAAAGTCATGATTCTGGTTTTCTCAGAAAAAAAATAATTAGCAGTTTTTAGACTAATAAGAGCTCAACCAAACCATTGGTGTTCCAGAAAACCTCAATAGACAAGATAAAGATATATATGTCTTCTCTTTGTTTATAGGAGTGTTGTCAAATGTGTTGATATGAGTCATGTCTTCACATCACTTCAGTGTCCTGCTGTTTTTTAAACAATGGTAGGACAATTCGGTGTCAAATAAAAAAACATGTCTTCTCATAACCTTTTTCCTTGACCCTTCTGCTTTAAAAAAATACTTTAAATTTTCTGCTATTGACCCACCCTGCCTTATACCAATGAAGCTGCTTATACCTTATATCAGGAGGCATGGGCTCAGCCTGTACCCCAGTATTTTTTGGAAAAAAATTAAATTATAGCCAGAATTTAATAAATAATTAAATTATTTTGTGGTAATATTCTAACTGTATTACTATGTTTTACTTGAGGTCGATCAGTCTATCATGTTGTGTCTTTGGAGCCCTGGAAATACTGGGACAAGAACCTGGACTTTGTTGGTTCTGATAAAGATTGGCCAGTTCTTGTAGCCAGCTAATATCTACCAGTGGGATTGGTGCTGATATAAAAGCTTAGGTTCCCTCCTACACATTTTAAGATTCTTCTTTTCCAGTCACTCACACATTTGTTTGGACTATATGGGATGGTTAGTCCACCGACCCTTTGTTTTACTCTTATCTGACGCCGAGTTAAAAGACAAAAATAAAAACATAAATCTTCCAGCCACACTCTATTTTTGCAGGAGGACTTTAGAAAATTATCAAGCAAAGAAAGGCAGTGTATTCAGGCTTTGTATCTAGGTCTCCCACTTGGATATGTCCAGTAAATCTCCAATGGGAGGAGCGGTGGAGGCATCCTGCTTATAAGACAAGACCTTGTCAACCGATCTTTTAAATTTAGAGAAGCTCTTACTCCACTGAGCTATGGCCTCAATGACTGTCTCACTAAATCAACCTCCAAGGCAAACGCTGACCATAATCTGATTTCAGTCGCTTTGATCCAGGATCTTCTTATCTTAAGTCAAGGTCCACATCTCATGCCCATCATTAATATCGTGAATGCAGACAGACAGCTTAATTTAAAGCTTGAATGTTCGATTCAGCTCTTTCTTCACCAACAATCCTTGCAGACTCGAAGAGGCCCCAGCACAGACAGGTTGATGCAATGCAACATTTTTAGAACTGCTTCACTGCTCGGCAGGAAAATACTTTTTACTAGGAATGAATATTCATACTGATCAGTTTGAAATGTTTCACTATCAGCGCTCTTCAGGTGATAGCAGGGAACGACAAACTGCAGAACATAGACAGTAGCAAGGACCCACAGCTGCTCTCTTCACCACACATTGAAAGGTTTGTCCCTGTTTAAATGGGTTTGGCTGACATTTGAGCAAAGATTCCAATATCTCTGCAGTGTGGGGACAACAAATCTGATATTCGCGATGATAGTACTGCTGCTGAAGCTCCTCGTAAATGTTATTATCAGAATGAACAATAGTGAGAAGTTTGGTATCTATTCTTTGCTTGCTTTGTGTGTCAGCTGTCACGGTTGCTAAGCGACAGAGCGTATGGGTGGTGAACGCTAGAAATGGCTGGACCTGATGGAATCCATCTTTATTTTCACGGACCTCAAAGGACCCAGTCCAGGTAGACAGGGTCCATGGAGGATCCAGCCTCTGAAAATTAACACACCTGCAGCTGGACCAATCACAGGACAGAAGGCAGGACTTTACAATGCTTGCGTCAGAATTCCAAATAATGCAGCAGCACCTTTCTGCTAGCATAACAACAAGCTGGCAAACGCAACGGAGCAATATTGCATTAAAGGTTAAGGATGTACTAGAGAGCACACTTTATATCCTCAGATTAGGCAAAACCAGCAGTAATCGTGCACTTGAGAGTTTCTTTGATAGCTTAAAATGATTCATGGACTACAAAATTACAAAAACAAAAACTTGGAGTTTTTTTGCACCACATCCACATTTACCTGCATGGTTTTAACTTAATCAAGCTGACCTTCTAAGTCCTGCCTTTGAAATCGAGTTGTACCAGCTCAGACTCATAAACCACGTAAATGTCGTATCAATCTGGCTGGCCAGGCTATGATGGTTGTGCAGTGGAAGAAAAAATGATGCAAGGCCTCCATCTAGACTTTCTTCTTTATTTCTTTGAGTAAAGCTACAGGGCAACCTCATCCAATGATGCCACAGCAGTGTGGCAAATGAAGGCATTTTGTCATAACAAACGTAGGAATAGGTACGCTAGACTATCAAGGCTGAAAGGTTGCGTGGCTCACAGTATGCATACGATGTAGATGCCTTTAGAGGTACTAATCTTCATCCCTACCATTTTAGACTGAGCTCAGTGATGCTCCAGTGCATGCTGAGTGTCATTGCCTGAAGACACCAACAATTTCACATCATCAGATAGACATATTTCCTTAAATCTTGGGACTGGAACGACCCGATAGCTCCCCTGTGTTATGGGGCTTTAATGTTTTAGCTAATTCAGTTGTTGTGTTTGTTCTTTTTATTGTCTTGTGTATAATAGGGAACCTTAAAAGCCCTGAGGGATACAAATGAAATAATGCATTGTTATAACAATGCATACTTTAGGACATCTAACTACAATAATTTACGCAACATATCCTGTTTAGTTTTCTGGATTCCACATTTTTTATTTCTTATGGATTTTGCACAAGAGATGTTCACTTTAAACTGTTTTTCTACTTTGCAACTCTGAAATTGGATGTTTGTTTACCCCAATTTGATTTCATCATCAACATCATAACATTATCATAATTGTTTTAATTCCAGTTTAACAGCTTTGATTCAGTTTAACAACTTAACCATAAAGGTAAGTCATGTCACTGGATAAAGATTTTTAAATATCCTAGTTTTAAAAGTATCAATAAAGGGAATTCTAAAAAACCTGCTGATGAACATAATAGTGACGATGAGTCTTGGAAACCATTGAAAGGGTGAAAAAAGTGGGAGATCATGAACCAGCTCAGGAATCAAAGCTTCTGTTTACCATTCAAGATCAAGTAATAAAAGAGATTATCAGAATAATGCAGAACTAAACAATATTATAAAATCCCATAAAAGCGACAGAGGGAAATGTATATATGCAGAAAAAGATACAGCAAATATTCACATATTAAAGCTCACCATTATTTGGTCACTTGGCCTCCAGTAACACTTTTCTTGCTTTTTGAGTCATTATTCTGTATAGATGCAGGGAAAAGTCACCTACCATGGTTGGATGTCTTTGCATGAACAGGAGTGTAGTGATTCTTTGAGGTCCTGATGGGGGTCTCATCTTTGGGAGAACCATTAATGGCTGCGATGTCTTCATGTTCAAACTGTGATGCTGAAACGGGTCCCTGCTGCCTCAGAATGTCCGCCAGAGCTCTGAAAAGAAATCACATAAACAGGAAATAAAAGGATGTGGTTGTTAAACCTATATTGACTCCTCTATAGTTTCTGTTCCTTCACTTTGAAGTTTATGTGTAAAATAAATCCTAATAGCAGCCACAGTTTGAGTGGAACTGGGTTTCTAGTGAAGAAGTACACAAGAAAATTACCTGCATCTGAAACATCCTCAAACCCCATTTATTAAGCGTGACATGAGATAAAGTAACAACCAGATTCCCAAAGCTACAGTTGTCTTAAAGGAAATAAAAGGGCACTTTAACTGTGTCAATGTCAGCCTAATGCAAACACACAGTCCACTTTTCCCTAACTTGGTGACTTTGAAAGATATGCTGTATATTAATAGCATTTCCCTTTCAGGGCGAGCACACTTTTGCCGTTTCCTTTCTGCAGACAGAGACGACCTGATTTTGCCGTGTCCCAGTTGACTTGCTCATCGTTTGCCGCAGGAGCCCCCTTCAATGTATGTGTTGGTAAAGAATTGCATCAAATTATAAAGCTTGAAAACAGTGGCAGTTTTAGACCAAATACACCAGGGGGGGTCAGGGCAAACAAAGAAATAAAAAACAGGGAAATAATTCTTCTTTTGAAATATGAAGTGAACCAAAAAAAACATTTGCAGCTGTAGCAACCACAGATATAGTGAAGGAACAATCTGATAATTTCTCAATTTCTCAATATGACTGAAGGGAAACTAATGATCTCGGCACTGATGTTGGGCTGATTACTCGGGCCATACTCCTGCTCTGCTCCACCCGTTCCGCATCAGATCTAATGCGCTTCACTTGTTTCCATCACTATAAAATCCCCATCAGACCAGTCCTCAGTGCCAGATTATCTCATACCAACCCGGTAAGATTAATCCAATGTCATCAAAGTTATCTGTCTGCCTGCCAGTCAACTGACCCGTTCTGTCCCTGATACCAAGCCTGCCTGATCCAATTCTGACTCTGTCCGCCTGCCTGGATATCCTCTCTGTTTCGCCTCTGGACATCTGGATCTTTGAATCTGTCTGACTCGGACTGCCAGCGTTCCTCTCTGGATCACAAACCCAGTAAAGCCCCGCAAAAACTGCCTTCTTCCTCTCTCCGTCTGGATCATGAACTGGTAAAGCTTCACAATCTGCCTGCCTACCCCCCCCCCAGCCTGCCTGCTTCTCTCAAACTCAGCTCCGCTAACCAAACAAGCTTCTTAATAAACTGTGTTCCAATGTCACTGACCTGTCTTGGTCGTATTTGGATCCAGCCTCTGTTTCTTACAGAATCGTGAAAAAAACGACATTTTTTAAACAATTGCAACAGTAAAACTATAAAAAATGTAAAAGTTTCAAGAGGCCAGTTACTCTCAGATTCTCTGCCAGCAAATTTCATTATAAAAAACCTGCCCATACTTTAGATTAGATTAGATTAGATTAGATTAGATTAGATTAGATTAGATTAGATTAGATTAGCTTTTTTGATTTCACAGCGGAGAAATTCACTTGTCACATATTGGCATAGAAGTCAAAGAAGGTGCAAACAAGGAGGAAAAAGGTGCATTAAGAATAAACAATAAACAATATATATATATACAGTATATCCAGGTATATACAGTATATCCAGGTAAATAAGGATTAAGGTGCAAGTGTATCTGTATCGCACACAATGAAAAACAAAATAAAATTAAGAAATAAAGAAATAAGAGATAAGAAATAAAAATATGTACAATCCGGTTGGCTTATATTCAGGTGGATTTACTTTTACGTTAAAGTGTAGCAGGTAAGGAGCAATGGTGAGGTAGTGGTATGACTATTCTATTCACATATATTGCACATTCAGCATATTGCACAGAATATTGCACAGTCAATAAATAAAAAACTATAATATAGCTGAACAGTGGTTTTTACAGGAGTTATTTTGGTTATAGTGCATTATTATAGAGTCTGGTGGCAGCAGGAATGAATGACCTGACCTAAAACCAAGAACCAGATTTTCATCAATGACTACAGTCTTAAAAATTATGTGGTCTTTATGTAAAATATAGCTTGCATTTTATTTTCTCATGCTAAACTTAATCATGACAGCAGCCTATTGTGTGAACTCAATAAAGCCACTGAAGAAATGTAAATGAAAGTAGAACAAAGGTCAACACGCTTGAGAAGAAAGAAAAACAGGTATATTGCTTTCATTATTGCTTCAGTTAATTAAGGTTTGCAGGTCCATATTTCAGCTCAGTGGTTTTCCGTCCATCACCTTACAATCAGTTTCAGTTCTAAACTTTGGCATCAGGTCTAACACAGATGACCACACAATGGACTTCTATAGAAGTTTATGACCAACATGCCAAACAAGCAGAGATAAATATTTCTAAACCACAATGCTTCAGACTTGGTATGATGATTCAAGCACAGACTTTACTTTGGTTTTACCTGCTAAAACTATTATTCCAGAAGTCTTATTGTTCCTTTAGATGAAGCTTTGCAAACCAAAAATGTTGAGACAGAAACTGTTGCACATTTTTCTATTCTGGCTTGAGCTTAGTTCAATAAATAATGATGCTGTAGAATCTGTTGTGCATTTTTAAACCCTTGAGAATAAATTAAAATACCTTTTGAACAGACTATAGATCAAATCATAGTTGTTATGCCCTGAAACCTAAAACTGCAGGAATGAAGGATAGACTGTAACTTTCTCCTTATCTTGAGTTGCCCGACAGACTTGTCTTACTGCATTTGACTTAAAGAATTGACTATGAGGTGTGGGAGAGCCTTGAAGCAATGAAGGAAAAAGAGGAGATGATTTATTCAGTAAAGTGATGTGCTTTGGAGTTCACATAACATACAGTATAACTGAAGTAAATAATATGCTTTGGTGCAGGCAAAGCAGCAGGCAAAATGTTTCATCTACAGCTCAACCTCAGAGAGATTACTTGAAGAGATACCAATACTCGTACTTTCTCAATTTAAGTTTGATATGTCATCAAACTTCTGACCTTTTTAGACATGTTTGAGTGTTTTTTTTTTTCTTTCTCTCTGATTATTTTGTTAAAAGCATATGATAATCGGAAGCATTAGAAAAACCAAAACATGTGTGCATTTTTTCTTAGATTAAGTGCAGAATATTAGAATTTGACAGCAAATCACAGCAGTGGGTCCGAAAGCAATAACTGGGTGTTTTAGATCAAACAGCTAAAAGAAAATGGTCCCAAAGAATAGCATCAATCTCTTACTGATACCTTGTTGTTGTTGATTTCAAATGTTTTTCTTTCAGAATCGCTGTTTATCTATCGTACAGTGATAACGATGAGTAAATCATTATTATCTAAACCAGTAATGGAGAAATAAAAATGATCCTTTTGTTGCCGTGGTGTCTAGCCATCCATTTTTTGAATATCTAGATTACTTTAATAGAAAATGAAACTGTATTCTCATTATCAGTTCGTATGAAATCGTACAAAAAGTGATTCACAGTATTTTGTAGGTTTTTGACGTATTTTTCGTCGTATTTCATCGTATTTTTACATCTTGCCTCGAGACAAGATATCAGTGCGCATGCGCATCTTACGCACCATTCAATAACATACAATTTAACATACAATTAACCCTAACCCTAACATACAAAACAGCAAGCAACCTAGTGAGAGACATCATGAAGTAATTATTGCACTGTGGAAAGCTCGTCCGTCGCAGTTTTACGTCCGTCCGCTGATCAGCTGTTTTCGTCTGGCTGGCTGCGCATGCGCACTGATGTGTTTTTTTCAAGGAAAAACGTCAAAAACCCACGAAATACTGTGCATAACTTTTCGTATGATTTCATACGAACTGATAATGAGAATATGTTGAACTGTAACAACCAAACAAGCTTTTTTTAAAAGAATGAAAATATTCTTTAGACATAGGTGTATGTGAAATTGCATCTTTTAAAAGTTAAACTTTGTCATGCTTTTTAAATTATAACCACACATTTCAATGTATTTTTATCTCACAGTGTGACAACATGACTGTCAGTTAAAAATACAGCATGTTTAGATTAGCTCACTATTCACATTAAAATTGTAACCAAATGGGTAGAAAATGATTTCATTGTTTGGTTGCAGTTTGTTTCTGAACGTAATTCCAAAAAGCTAAATTTATTATCATGGCCACAACTGAAAAGTTGGTAGTATACATGCACCTTCACCTTTATTTATTAATCCATACACATACTTTAGTTTGCAATAAAACTTAATTCTTCGTTCAAATGCATGTGTTCTATTTGTAAGCTCCCACATTTAGTTCACTGTACTTGTATCCAATCATTCATATTTCTTTGTGTGTTTTTGTCACTAATCTGTTTCCTACCTTCCATGGTGCTTAGAAGTTTGGCCAGAAAAAAGATGGCAGCCAGGGCTCAGATCTGCTAAATGCAGCAGGGGAATTTGGTTTGTTCCACCAGATGCTGCTAGAAGGGGGTAATTAGATTTTTTTTTACTTATTTCTGTCACTTCTTCTTTTGTATTTTCAGTTAGGATTTGTTTTGCGTTTAGTGTATTTTTATTTTTCTAAGATGCAGATAGGTTTATTGCCAAACCTAACTGTACTGCTGTGTTTTTTAATTTGTGATTGCTTGATTAGTTTTAATTACCCCTGTTGTTTTATGGGTCTTTGTGCACATTTTGCTTGAGTTAAATTTTGTCTTTTTGATTGACCTCTTTTGACTCGAACCCATGTATTTTTTGTTTGTTTTTTGGGTTAAAAATAAAAAGCCAATTTCTGAATTAATCCCTGACACTCGTCATGCTTCTTACCTCGGCCCCTCACTCTCTTTAAAGCAAAAATTATTTTTTTAAGCCTACTTAACAGCAGTGATCAGAAAGAGGCTTGGAGGTTTGATGGTAGACTGTGTTCTGTCACTGCAACAGCATACTTCTTTCTCACACTTCCTCTGGCTTTGCATTTAAGCGACTTTAAACTCCAAGATTGGAGTTTAAAATTGGAGTGATGGAACAACCATTGCTTTAAA